GACGAAGTACACTGCTGAGGGGGGCTGCGGGCGGGTCAGGAGAGGTCTGCCACGCCCTGTGGGTCAACTCCGGGGCTCAGGATCGAACTCTCACTGAAGTGGCTGTGGCTGGCTTGCAGTACTTCGTCCTAACCCTCTGCGCCACCAGGAGGGCCAAAAATAGCTCTTCTTATGAACGCACCTGCTTAATGCTTTCACATGTTAGTCCCCACTATATCTAACTAACCACAGTGAAATGGATGCCCACATTGTGACCAGACAGGATTTAAAGTCTGACCAGTGACCCCCCGTTAGCTTGCAATGTCTGTTTTCAAACAGGTGGGCCAATATTCAATTTCCATCTGAAATCTGTAAAAATATTCAGAAAGCAATTTGAGAACATACTGAATTTGTCAGTATAGTTTATTGTTAAGCTTTGTTGTAGGTTATATTGTGACTCAAAGGAAAATATTCCCACCAGCTGCCCCAACATTTGTTACTGGTAAGGAAGTGTGAGTAGAATAAAAGTGTCTTCCACAGCTCAGAGCAGGGGTTCCCAGGCAGAAGTCTTGGGAACTAAGGACACGTGGCTGTATTGGGCAGTGGGGGATCACACAGGTGCACTTGGCCTTTCAGATATTTGTCTTGCTCCCAGGAAGTCATTTGTCTAGCTTTTGGATTACCCAAGTGTACCATAGATGAATAGTAAGCATAGTTTTAAGGTATACGATATTACTAGTACATATAATTAATGCAATTTCTATAGAAACAGTTGAAACAGGAGCCCTGGGGATCCTGGACTAGGGGTGCAGCAGGGTGTGCCCTATTCTGTGTGGGGCCTTAGTGCCCACCACCACACCGGGTACCAGCTGGGTTTGGCAGCTGACCTCAGCACAAGGCAGGTTTTCACACACAATGGGGTTTTGGTCTGGAAATCAGAGCAGTTTTTAAAATGGGCCAATCAGGTTTGAGCTTGCAGTGGCTCCAACCAAGTCTGAAATGGTATCGGCTTTGGACCCTCCCTGGTGGCATAACGGGTTGGAGCACAGCACTATGAGGCTAGCACAGCCACTGCAGCACAAGTCTGGTCCCCAGCCAGGGGGGTGACCCACATGGCACAGCAGACCTCTCCTGTCTCCCCGCTGCCCCCCTCAGAGTGTTTCAGTCAGTCTGCCTCTTCTGCTCTCCACTTTGTCTCTGGTGAACCCTCTCACCCACTGCCCCTCTGGCCTGTACCCCAGTTCTGTATGCACAATAAATAAATATTAAACAAACAGAATTGGTATCAGCTTTGAAAACCCATCAGTCAAGCATGAGATCTGGGTACCTTGCGAGTGATAGAAACTGGGGCAGCAGATTCACACTCAGACCCGAACTCATCAAGACCTTTGCCTCAGATCTTCAAAACTTCAAGTTCCTGCCTTCAATCCTGCAACCTGTTGCTTGAGATCATCAGCTGCTGCTGCCTCCCGCTGGGCTTCCACAGCCCTGCTGGTAGCTGCCACAGGCCTGTGGTGGCATCTCTGAGGATCCTCCCACACCTCCCCTGCTCTCTAATGCTGTGCCACTGTCCATAGTGCTGCCCCTGACTAGTGCTGACTGGCACTGCTAACCTGTGCCCCGCCACCTCTAAGAGCTGCTCCTGGCTTCCGATCCTCTGGCACAACCAGCATCGCTTCCGACAGCTGTGGCCAGCAAGATCTCCGGATAGGGGCCACTGGCCGCCAGGATTACCTCCAGCTGCCAGAGGGCTGGCTTCTTGTCCGCCGCTCACCAGCCTGAACCGGCTCCCTGCTCTCATCACAGCAACACCATCTTGTCTGAAGAGCTTTTGGTTTGGACCACTGGCCTTTGCAGTAGGACTGGTGGCCATCTGTGATATCAATGGCTTTGTCCTTGCTCCAATCCCCTTATTTCTTTCTGCTTTGTAAGTAAACACTGTGGTTGTGCTGAGTCTGAG